ACGAGTATGTTTGTCCTCACTTTGTCCTTTCTCTGTTGTTTCTTCTACAAGGCGTCAGCTTATCCTATAGAAGAGAACAAAGCCCTCCCTGTCAACGTTCACCTTGTCCCTCACACACACGATGATGTTGGATGGCTCAAAACTGTCGATGAATACTATTATGGTGGTAAGTAGTTTTTTGTACTACTAGCACTATGACGTTATTATACTCCACTTTATAGCTGATAATAACATACAGCATGCTGCTGTACAATACATCATTAGTTCTGTAGTTGAGGAGTTATCTAAGAACAAAGATAGGAAATTTATCTACGTCGAGATCGCTTTCTTCATAAGATGGTGGAACGAGCAGACTGATGATGTGAAACAGCAAGTGAGACTCACACTAATTATCGAGATAATTATGTATTAATATTACATTATATACTAAACATGTTGATTAATATGCCTTCTTTCTATACATGTACATGTATCTGATCCTCTCTCTCTCCCCCTTTAGGTTCATGAATTAGTACAGAGCGGTCAGTTAGAGTTCATTAATGGCGGATGGTGCATGAACGATGAAGCTTCTACTCATTACAATGCAATCATTGATCAGATGTCTTTAGGATTAAGGTTCCTTTCTAACACTTTTGGTATACGTCCAGTAGTTGGCTGGCATATTGATCCTTTTGGACATTCAGCCTTTCAAGCCACCACTTTCTCACTGGTAATCTTTAAACTGTATTATTTTATGTCTTATCACCTCCCTCTCTCTCTTTAGCTTGGATTTGACAGCATGTTTTTTGCTCGTAATGATTACGCTGACAAGGCTCGTCGTTTAAATACGTCTGAGATGGAAATGATATGGAAGAGTAGTCAGTCGCTCGGTGATATTGCTGATATATTTACTGGAGTCCTTTATCATCACTATGTACCACCTCCTGGCTTCTGTTTTGACTCGTTCTGCTCTGATCCTCCATTTCAGGTAATTACTATTGACCACACCCACTATGAACAATTAATGATGTTTAATGAAATGTTCTATTGCTGTATATTTTGTCTATGATAGGATGATGAGAATTTGTTTGATGACAATGTCAAAGAGAGAGTCAACGATTTTGTCAAGCTAGCCCTTGAACAGGTACAGCACTACAGCCTTTTGTACATTATGAATAATTATTATTTATTTTCTCATTTAGGCTAAGTATTTCAAGTCTAATAACATCATCATGACTATGGGGTCTGACTTCCAGTACGAAAATGCCCAGGAGTGGTTCAAGAATTTGGACAAGCTCATAAAATATGTGAACATGGTAAGAAACTATAAGCATTCATTACTTCATTCTTCTGCTATTGTATTTGATGTAGAATGGATCAGTGAATGTAATGTATTCTACTCCTTCAATGTATGTGAGTTATATCAATAAAGAGACACAACTGACCTGGACTACCAAGACTGATGATTTCTTTCCTTATGCAGATGCGCCCCATAATTATTGGACTGGTAAACAAATTTATTTGTTATTTATTTGTTTGCTTAGTTGTTTGTTGTTATTTTTAACATGTCCACTCTTGTTTTTTAGTTATTATAATAATATTAGGCACTTGTGTTAGTAATTGTAGCAATGGCACAATTGTATACAGTTTCTTATATACATTTATATACCTTCAATTTACATGTAGTTATATAGACATTAATGTTTATTCACTGTGTTATAAAGTTCATTTTGTGCTGTTTTTCTTTTTTAGGTTATTTCACTAGTAGACCTGCAATAAAAGGTTACGTGAGGCAGTGTAATGCTCACTTGCAAGCATGTAAGCAATTGGAAGCAATTCATAATGGAATGGGAGACAATGGACCATCTTCAGTAACACTACGTAAGTTTGACAAAGACTGAGTGAAATATCTTCCCTTTTTTTGTAGAAAAAGCTATGGGTGTGGCACAGCATCACGATGCTGTTTCGTAAGTAAAATAATTACTTTATTAATAATAATTATTATTAAAATAATTAGTGGTACAGAGAAGCAGCATGTTGCTAATGATTATGCCAAGAGGCTTCACATTGGAGAAGTTGAGTGTCGTTCTGTAATGGCGACTGTCCTCAATGATCTTGCAGCTAAAGGAGCTAATGCACCTAAAATGAACTTGAGTTTCTGTGAATATCTTAACATCAGTGTGTGTCCAGTAACTGAGGGAGGAGATGTAAGTATATTATCATACAACTGACTAGTCTCTCATTAATGTACAGTTCAATATGGTGGTATATAACTCATTGGCTCGCCCATATACTGGTGTGGTACGTCTGCCCATTATTAAAGATACTCTCTCAGTAACTGATCCTGATGGTAATGCAGTAACTGTCCAGGTACATGTGTACATGTATCTATAATATTTATATTATTTTCTCTTTGTGCAGATTGTTCCCATTGATAACAGTACAAAACTCCTTGCTATGCCTATTAGTTCTAATGATACTGCTGAGCTTGTGGCAGTTTTTGAAGTTGATGTACCTCCCATGGGTTATGCCATATACACTGCTAAGACTACTGGTACTTTAGGTATGACAATCATTCTTAAAGTATTCTTATTGAATATTAATTTTAGATTATACTCAAAGATCAAGTGTGAATGTACAAAAGTCTAATGATGATACAGTGATTAGTAACAAGGTGTGTATTGTCTGGAAAAAACTGACTTTCCTAGAATATTATTTAGCTTTATTATTATTATTATATTTCTATTTCTGTTGGCAGTATTATCAAGTTGAGTTTGACTCAGAATCTGGTCATTTGAAGAAGATAACCAACCTTGTATCAGGCATATCGAGTAATGTTGATCAGAATTACTACTGGTATAATGCTAGTGCTGGAAATAACAAGAACAGCACTCAGGTACAACTTTATGAAATTATTCTTTATCAATCAATTTTTATGCTAATGACTAGAAATCTGGAGCATACATATTCCGTCCTAATAGCTCAGTTTTATTTCCAGTTGGAGAAGATACTAAAGCTTCAATATCTGTCGTTGAAGTAATAATAATAAACATTGTAATGTTAGTATTATATTATTGGTATAGGGTGACGTAGTGTCTGAAGTACGGCAGGTCTTCTCTTCATGGGTCTATCAGGTATTATATACTGTACATGTATAAAAAATCACTGTTATTTTAATAGGTTGTAAGGTTGTATAAGAATAAACCTTTTATTGAGATAGAATATACTGTTGGGCCTATTGATATCAAGTACTCTCAGTATTTTGTTTTATCTTATGTCATTGTAATCATTTGTAGTGATGGTTTAGGTAAAGAGGTCATATCAAAGTTTACAACTGATCTTGAGACAGACTCTACTTTCTATACCGACTCCAATGGAAGGGACATGCAAAAAAGAGTGTATGACTTGTTTTATAATTGATACCTTTATCATTATTATAATTATAGATTGAACTACCGTCCCACATGGAAGTATAACAACACTGAGCCAATAGCAGGGAACTATTACCCAGTTAATAGTAGGATATTTTTAAGAGTCAGTATTACACTTATTATTGGTAATAAACCTAATGCATATACTGTATAGGACGAAAAGAAGAAGACTCAGTTCACTGTACTTAATGATAGGTCCCAGGGTGGCTCTAGTTTTGAAAATGGTGAACTAGAATTGATGGTAAGTTCATGAGTATGATAGTGTGTCATAAGTTATGCTATTGATTAGGTTCATAGACGTTTGTTGTATGATGATGATCGTGGGGTAGGTGAGGCATTAAATGAAACTGGTGTGAGTGGAAAGGGTCTGGTCATTCGTGGGAAGCATCTACTGATACTTGATACAATTGATGAATCAGCATATACTCAGAGAATGATGGCTGAAGAATTAATGATGACACCAGAGCTGGCAT